AAACACATCTCTTACCTAATGATATATAAAATGTTAGGTAAACAATGCATGTAATTTATTTAGCATTATTCCTAGTACATAGTTGTTTTGCCCACTTCACACAGTTCCTCCAGCCATAAGGACTTCTTCAGGCTACAAGATAAGGGCCATGCATAAAAGAACTAGACCAGAAAAATAACTCAACTTTTGCTCTCAAATATTCTATTTAGAAAAGTATTGGTTACATAGAACTCACTTTTCCTACCAATCCCATTTTCCAGTGTATGAAGCGCCTCTAACTTAGGATAAATGTTGAAGAAGAAAGGGAAATGATGGATTCTGGTCAGTGTTCATCAATATATGAAGTTTTTCTGCATCTTCTTCTAAGTTTGGAAAAGCCAATCATTCCCTACTTTATGCTGGAACCTTGAAAAGTGGCCTCAGAGGTTCATTAGTGCTTGGACTGAAGTTGCCTTGGACGAGGGTAATGTGGAGCTCTAAGTATCAGGATTAAGTTTTCCAAAGCATGAAGATTTTACTGCTTCTTTTCAAAAGGATTAGAGATCTGCAGGAGTGCCTGAGGATCATGGTCACATTAAGAGCATGTGAGAACACAATGCACATTAGATTACATGTCTGAAAGCTGAGTGGGAATGTAGACATATCAAAGGAAGACAGCACAGAAGAGTGAAACATACCAACAGCCAAAGCTATACTGTTAAGCCTAAACAGTCATCATCACCAGATATTATCAGCTGAGGATTAGACAATCCCATTCAATGTCATAATAAATGATCATCCATGTGTCAAACAAATTAATATTCTCTTAAAATTATGTGCTTCCATAGATCTCTTAAGCTGAACAGGACTAGGTGACTAGTTCCAACCAATGGACAAGGAGCAGGGGTTATGTGTCACTTCTCTGGGCCAGTGTGAAGTTTGACTTTCCAACATTCTTTTTTCTCTGTGACAGTAATTAACATACTGAGTCACAAGACAAAGTAGTCTGGACCCCTAACACATTATTTGAAAACAAGCTATCATATGCACCTCATAAATAAGCTTTTATATAAGTTGATGATACAGTTTTCCCTCAGTATCTTTGAGAGATTAGTTCCAGAACTCCTGCACATACCCAAATCCATGGATGTTCCAGGCCTTTGTATACAATGGCAGGATTTGCACATAGCTTACTTACATCTTGCTATATATTTTAAATCACCTCTAGGTTACTTATAACACTTTATGTAGTGTGTGTACTATATGAATAGTTGCTATACTATATTGTGTAGGGAATAATAACAAGGCAAAAAAGTCTGTACATGCTCAATACAGATGCAATATTTTCTGAATAATTTCCATTCACAACTGGTTGAAACCATTGATGCCCAACCCACTGATATGGAGAACTTTGTATATTTCAGGTTGAATTTATCATTACTACGGAAACTTCAGAGTTCTTAGTAATCTAGCTCCCTAAACTTAGATGCCACCTCTCATCAGAGGAAACAATAGGGAAAGGTGTCAACTGATTGGATATAGTCCAAATTCTTTCTGAAAATCTCTTATTTGCTTACTTTATGTTTTGTGCCTTTGGATAAAGTGGAAATTCAGGAAGGCACTAAGTTTTGTTAAAGGAAAAACAAACAAAGTTACATTTATTCCACATTTGAGTTTAAATGTGTGAGGAGAAATCATAACTAATACATCATTATCAATATTGTAAGGTAATTGCTATCTGGCACAAGGAAAAAGGGATTAGGGGACTTCAAATCAGTTTTGAAAAAATTAAAAGAATTTCATTTTGGCACAAAACAATGACATCTACACATAAATTATTCATGATAAGACATTTTCCATGAATTTGTTGAAGACCAGTCACTCAGCCCTAACAGAGCCTAGCACAATGCTTTGAACATAAAAAGTAGGCACTGTGTGTGTAGTTATAAGGAGTGAGTGTGTGTGATTTTCACTGTTGGTTTCCTATACTTTCAATTGCCTATTGAATCCTGAACTTGACTAGAATTATAAGATTCTGTCTGGTCAAAATTATAAGATCTGTCAGGTCAAAAAAAATAACCTGGTATATTTTAGAATTCTAATTTGCAATTTGATTAATATGATTAAAAATGCCAGCATTTTGATATCAACTGGATTTGTGTCTCAGCTCTGTAACATGTTGGGTGACTTTGAATAAGTCTTCAAATCATCTTAAAAATACTGGCACCTAACTAAGTACGATTGTTGTGAATATTGTCTCCTTTGACAGCACATACAAGCTTCTTCACAGGGGTGTCAGTGTATGGAAAGCATCCAATCAATATATTTTTATTTTAATGTCATTGCTGTTGTTCAGATGGCTGCAAATCCACATAAACTTAATAGTTCCTATGAAGTTACCACAGGATTATTTCATAAATCCCTGAACATATGGATGAAGATGACATAAAAGGATGATATTTAGATAATTGGACTGAGATATGAAGCTTGGTTTTCAGGATATTTTATTGTATACACATGCATCTTGCAGTAGGAATCTGTGGCAGGTAACCAAAAATGTCTTTAAACTTGGAAGTATTGTGTTTTCTAAAACAAGCAGATATCTTTGATTACATTATTTTGTAGGACTCTACTTGACTGAAAGACAAGTCAGTAGAAACAGGTCAAGTAGTTTGCAACATGGGTATTTTTCTCTTAAAAAATCGATGGATAACTTGCAAGTACAAGTATTCCAATATACTCATACCTCCTGTGAAACATTTTGTTTACAGTCTCCTGACTGCTGTCTTGTGGTGAATTATTCTGTTTATAGCTTTAAAATTGTTATCTTGGTGACGGTCTTCTCTTTCTAATCTTAAGATGGTTGTCTAGTGGCTTTTTTCCCCATGGTTTATCATGAAGCTTGATAATACTTTGGAGGGACATAAAATTAGTTAACTATGCACCTGCTCAATCTACAGTTTTATGAGTACAACTTGTTGTATGATATATATCTTGTGATGGAATGTGCTTGAAAATAGAAATTTGGTATTAAGTTTTGCAATATATGAATCTATCTTTAAGTATGTTGAATAATACATTTGTTTTAGTCTACATATGTATGTGTGTGTGTGTTTACACATACATATGCACATACTTTTGTCCTTACAGTGGTTTCAAAATTAAACAATTGTGAATTCAGGAATGTAGAGTAAAAACATAAAAGAACAGTTGGAGGCTAACTTTTTACACTCATTTTAGCCTCATTTCTCCAATATATGCCTGCATATGTCTCACAGTTTCTCCATGACTTTCCCCCTATTTATCATCATCTTGAGTTTTGATACTGGGCCAGAATCTGATCTTTTTCTGTGTTTCAGAAAAACTTTACAGTGATCATTTAACATGTATTAAGCCCTAGAAAACTGAAATGGACATTGTGGTGCAGGGGTTAAGCCACCACTTGGATACTGGCATCCCATATTGGAGTGCTGGCTCAGATCCTGGCTGCCCTGCTTCTGATCCAGCTTTGTGCTAATGCACATGGAAACAGAGCTGAGAATGGTCCAAGTACGTGGGGCCCTGCCACACACATGGGAGTCTGGAAGGAGCTCAGGCTTGTGGCTTCTGCTTGCTACTCCCCCAACACTTGTGGGCATTTGGAGTGGGGGTGAACCAGCAGATGGATGATCTTTCTCTGTCTGTTGTTGCCACTGCCTCTCAAATAAATAAAGCTTAAGCAAAACTAAAATCTTCCCAACTAATTTATAAATTGGATATCTTGTGGGAAGTTTTACCTCTATCAACTTTAATATAGGTAATGACATTGCCAGAGATCTAGTTATGTTCATTACTTTCCAACATATCTAGGTGGAAAGTGGCGCCTTTACCAAGTAGATTGATAGTATTGGGGAAGGGACACAATGAGTAATGTCTCCAGATAGCCATCTGAAAAAATCTCTTTACCCCTTAGAATGAAAGGAACCTAATTCTCCATTATTAATAAATTGCTGTCAGCTTCAGGAGGTGGAGTAAAGTTTTTAGTTGTATTCAAAGAACAGTTGTCAAGTTGTTAATGAAGAGTTCATGTGCCAGCTTCAAGTATGTTCCTATCAGAATGAAGTTCCTCTGTAGCAGAGGGAGAAAGAGTACGGGCAAGAAAGAATGTTAAGTCAGAAGATGGACCCAAGAATGTAATGAATTCGAATGGTTGCATGGCTCTAGATTTCTTATTTTAGTCTTATTTTCGTAGATTTACATGCAGGAATATACCAATAACATTTATCTTAAAGGGATATAGTGAGACAAATGAACCACAAGTGTCCACATGGTTAAGAACTGAGATGTGTTACTAGAAAGTATTACACCTGCTATGAACTGGCATGGTACCACTGGATATGTCATCTGTACCTTAATTCATTGGAAACAAAAGTTGTTTCTCCCTCTTCCTCAGTCTGTCAATGGCAAAACATGCACAGTGTCTTGATGTATTTCACTCTGAACACTATGACATGATAGTGATTTTAGATGAAGGGATCAAAATATCCAAAGGTTGCTGTGCATACCACAAAATAGCAGGGAGTGTTATAAATACTTTATTAATGGCCCATAACTGAACTACTTTAAGAGAACTTATCCCAATATATTATATAAAAAAACTGCTGATGCAGTTTACATCATATGTAATCAAATAGCTATGACAATTTGAAAGAATAATAGAAACTCTTGTGAGACGTTATTGCAGTATTAATATTCTTAAACTTTGGATGCATGGAGGAGTAATAAGCAATTTTTAAAGCAGAAAATTTGCAATAAGGCAACGTTGTTAGAAGATCTTTTCGTGTGTCACCAATGTCTCAGAAATCATTCTATCACAGCCCTGTGCCTTAAGTCATAAGTCACCTAATCACTATTTAAGCTCTCCTTCCCCACCACCACTGCAAGTTTGATGCTAAAATTTCAGATTCTTTGTAGCCAAAGACCTGCCAGCAACAATTGTAAAACTGCAATGAGGGCAGAAAGAAATCATAAAAACATTAATGTCACTGGGAAACAACCTAAAACATTTTATTTTTAATTCCCTAAGAAACAAACTAACCACAGTTAAATAAACATATCTGAATAGATGAGTAGGTCTATACAGATCAATAGGCATATGTGTTAGATGGACAACACACACAAAAAGTATGATACCCCAAACAAGCAAAAGGTTCTGAGGAATAACTAACGAGATTTATAAAGATAGGCAAAAATAATCTCATTTTCAAATTTTCATGTTATTAAATACAGAAAAATTTTCTCCTCCCCAATTGGATTTTTTTCTCATAAAAATTTTCTGACACAGAAGACAACATTTGTTTCATATTTTATTGAATTTCATTTATATTAAATTAAAAATATATTTCTGACAGATTCATGTAACAAAAAGGCAGAACAGTTTTCAAATTGTTCAGCTGGGATGATCAGTACGGAATGAGGCAAAGCAGTTCGCATTCTGTAAATGCCTTGTACAGGTACAATTATTTCCCAAGAGCCAAAAGAGGATCCTTGAGAACTAGCCGAAAAGCCTAATTACATAAATTTAAAATACTGTTTTTCCCTCATTCTCAAATAAAAACAGAAATTCAGGGAAGGAAGGAGATTAGGGTGAAGGGTTGTAGGAGAAGAAAGAATAAGGGAAATTATACTAAAAATATACCTAACATTAAAAAAGTTAGTATGTGTTAAGTGCATAATCCTTCATAGATAAAATAGAAAAAAAATTAAAATAATATCACACCACACACAATTGGCATATCCTATTGTGTAAGCGAGTGCAGAGGTTGAACACGTCACAATAGCGCTAAACACAGAATCACAAGTAATGTCAAAATGATAACTTCCAACCAAAAAAGAAACAATCACAAGCCGATTACTTATATACAAATCAACCCTAAAGACAATTATGTTCCAAATAAAGATGCCCCAGAAAGAAAATCAAAGCAACATTATCCTTATTTACAAATGCAACTAGCCATGTCTTTAACAAGCTATAAAAATACTATTCACATTTTTCAAACATACAGTAGTATTTTTTGTTTGTTTATTTCAAAAAGGCAGCTAACTTTGAATGCTGGGGTTTAAATGAAACATTGATGGCTTACCACAAAGGTATTCTTGCACCCCTGTCCTTTGAAGAGACTTCATAGGAGAGAAGGCATGTTTTCCGTTCACAAGAAAAAAAGGAAACGAATACAAATGTATATAACACCTTAAGCCTCTGCCTTTTTGGTAAAGTGTCCCCCTTTATCAACCAAGCTGATCTTAGTAAACCACTTTGATGTGTGCATGAGATGAGTGTTTGAGAGAAGATTTAAAGCGACTTAGATTTTTGTGCTATGAATTGTCTTGCATGTTGACCTCATTTTCAGTTGATCTTTTCTATTGATGCTCAAAAGAGAGATGAACCAGTCCTACCATGTGGAAATGCAATTTCAACATGCAGCAATGCAATCCCTGGTGCTCATAAAATGAGATGAAGACACACCAGCCACTGAGATGTGCATTCAAAGTTAGCTGCCCTTGCACAGCTGCTCAGTTAATAATCGACCCATTAACAGCAGTACCAGTTTATGCTACATATTTCAAAGTACCTTACTTTAAAAGAACAGATTACATATCTACATTTAGAAAATAACTCTCATAGTTGATTACTGAAGTAATTCCAAAAGGGTTCTTGGAGTGCTACTCTTGTAGTCCCCTCACTCCCCCCTCCCAACCCCTGAGAGATCCAGAAATATACAGGAAAATGACTCTCACATTAAGGGAAAAGGTAAAACCCCCACTAACTTAAAAACAAATCTGGAAATGAGACTTGAAAACCAGGTTTATATCAACTTAGAGGAGGTATGATTTGTTTCTTTCAAAAGGCCTACAGGCCTGGGGCACAAATCTACGTGTTAGGGGTAAAAATAGCAGTAAAGGCAAAGTGGTTTGGACAAGTTAGACTATTGCCTACAGGTATGAAACTGTGTTTTCCTATATTTATATATGGGGAAAACTCACTAGAGCGTTAAAAGAACAAATGTCCTTAAAGAGCAAAAGTAGAGAAAGAACCATTCTATTAGATAGCATGGATATTCATTATAGTGAAATTGCACTCATTACATATTTGTTACATGTATGAACAGTCCAAAAAAGAGTTGCAGGTGGTTCTCAAAGCTGAATACCCTTTAACTTTATGATCATAAGACCCTTCATTTGGAAAAAAGAAATCACAGCAGCTGTAAAACATTTGTGATCAGAAATAAAATATGACAAATAAAGTAAATAAGTTAAATTTCTGGTAAAATAACATCTCAGTTATATGTATAGTTTTTATGGAGAAACTAAATCTAAGCTCTACCTAAGTTATGTATACACATACATACATGTGAGTTTCAAGATTGATCACACAGCTAACTCATTTCAAATTCCTACAGAGAAAAACATTGCATCAATTTTCACTGAAAAACATAAAATGTTGTAAGATATCCTCTGTACAGTAATTTATTTGAGAAATACTTTAAACAACGTCCAAATTGCTAGGGTTTTCAATGGAAAAATCAGACAATTGAGGGCAAAGGCTGTCAGTATTTCAAAAAGTAGGGTGTGGGACCTCAATGATCCACTATGGCTTAAGAGCAGAACAGCATTAGGAGGGACACTTTGAACCAGGGTTGTAGAAAGTGAAGAGAACTGGGCCAGTTGTGCTAATGGGAAAATAGTAGGGATGCTGTTTTCTTCTAAAGTCTAGAGAGAATGGATTTTTCTGTGATCCCTAACCAGGGATCACACACTTGGAAAGCTGACTGTTGAATATTTTAAAAGGAAAAGCATGAGAATAACTCCATTAAGCTGGGGCTTAGAGTCTTTTCAGCCCATGACTCAGGAGCATTTTCTTCTGCACAAAGTACCACCTATCCAGGAATGAGGTGAGGTGGGGGTCTGCAAACGGACACAAACTACAGTTTTGCACCTCTATTAAATCTACTTGAACAGAGTGTCTGAAATTTCTATTATTTTAGAGAGACTTTTCTTTCAATGAAAGGAAGAAAACAGCCCATGGTGATAAGTAATATTCACTCATTCAAACACAAGGGTTCCTGGCCTGAAAGTGTCCACAACAGTGTTGGGTTTGGAATTGCAGACAGAACTCCATTGCAAAGGCATTAAAAATATATTAATTCTACCCAGAAATATAAGAGCTGGCCCTGTTGTAAAATCAGTACTAAGAAGGTCTCCACTGATGATAATCTTTCAAAGTTATGCCTGGAATATATCTGTATACTGACATTTGTTCTTAAGTAAATGGTAACCAGGAGACCCCAATCTACCTTTATGTGTTTACATGGGTACAAGGCTGTCATTTGAAGTGACATACACCAAAGTCCATGAACACAAAGAGAGGCAGAGCAGGATTCTTTGCTCAGTAGAAGTGAGTTTATCTGACTTTTTAACAATCGGAAACTTATACACCTGGACTTCTCATTTGTCCCATAATAAATCATCAGCCTAATAACTAGAACCAAAAGAATGGCAATAAAGTAGCTTGAAATGCTTAGATAAGCATTTATTTATTTATCAGAAAACTGTTAACTAATTAACTAATTCTTTGTTTTTGGATGAAACAAGAGGGTCATTCTCTTATGGCCATAGTGGGAAAAGAAAAGAAAGGACATGTCACAAATTAAATTTATTTGTTCATTAACTAAATGACACCACTCATGCTGTCTCTCCATAAGGTAATAGAACATTTACATTTCCTTTACTTCATTTTGAAGACTTCTTACTTAAAGTCATATGTAACCTATTTGCTTGTTAAACTCTACAAGGTGGTGTTTGCAAATTAAAATTAAACTTCACTTTCCACTTAATACATTTTAAAAGAGATAAAGGAATGGAAGCATGAAAAAAAATTGTAATGCTTTAAAGCAAGTTTTCACAAGTGGCACCATTCATGCCTACTTACAGCTAAATCTAACAAATGACAATTTTAAATGGCAAACTTATTTTTTTAGTATGAAAAGTCCACCTTACATCTCTATATCCCACATCTTATTTTGTTACATTATACTTTGTAGTTAGTTTTCTAGTCTGATCTATTTAATAATATCAAAATCATTTAACATCTGAAAACCTAAAACTACATCTTACAGCATTATCATGGTTCTGTCCAGATATATACATGCTTTCATGATCACTTTTTCTATTACCTTATGAACTACATAAACTAGCTAAATAATTAACAATTATAGATGGATGAATAATTTAAGTTTTGAAATAAAGGTTAGGTAGCTCTAGAAAAACTTGTATATACATTCTTTCTTGTCAGGCTTAAACAATTTTAATTTCCTTTTCATTCTGACACTTCAAAAAGCACATTGATCATCCCTTCACCTTTATCTACTAGCAGAACCTGATGGTCTTTTTACTGATCTTTCCTTAGCATAGGAAATATGCACAATTGTCATGTCATTCCCTTCCTTTAGAAGGTTTTAACACATACATTATAACACTTAATAGAACTCTACTTCTCTCAAATTACAGATAGCTCAGTCATTCTTCATGAGCTATGATAAAGGAATCTATTTTTAGTTTGTAAAATTTCACGGAATTTGACTTTCTGCATTGTTGTTCATGCTATTTCAAGAATACTACTGGAGAAAGGAATCTTATTCTAATTTGTGCTACTAATGTTATTCAGAAGACAAAGAGTTGCTCAGTGGACTAAACACCTCACCATGGTACTGATATTTTGTGGTTCTGGATATCACCTGTCTAAGAGGATACTTTGTCTCATCTGTTTAAGAACTACTTTATGCAATCATTTAACTCTAAAGATTTTCCACACATGGAAATAGGATTTCCCAAGACATGTATAATCAACACACTTGGTAATTTATGAAATTGGCCAGTGTAATTTTAATATAAAATTTTCTTAAATTTACATAATTTATTCTGCATATTTCCATGGATACAACTGGACATTGGAATCTGACATTCCAAAACACTTTTCAGGCTTTCACTGCCATTTTGTCTTTATTGGTTTAAATCAGTCATTGTCTAGAACAGATGAAGTTCTTTCTGTCTCCCTTTTATATACTCCAATTATGTTTTCCTGGGGGTGAGGGGACAAAGAAACCCTTAAACAGCTCAAACAAATTATTTACTAAAGAAATCACTTGAAAGGAATAGTAGAGTGGTGCTATTGTGTAGAATTTTTGGTCATTTTGAATTATATTTGCATCTACCCCAAGGTATTAATGGGAGATTACTTGACATATAAGAGTCTTGTGTTCTTGGGAGAAAGAATTTCCTATTACTTTAACAATAAAAAGTTCATTTTCTTTCCTTCTCTAAAATAAGTGATTCTGCTTTTTATATCCCAGTAGAAACCACAGGAATATTGCAAATCAGAATGAAATGTCGAGGTATAGGATACGAAAAGGGTGTTGTCACGATGAGTTGGTACAGATTTATCTAGTAAAGAGGCTTATGTTAAATTCTTCACAAGTACTTGCATGAGGTCCCATTTCCATGAAGACCTCTCTTAATGGATGGGAGAGCTCTGAGCAACAAGATTGTGGTCCCCAAATCATTTCACATCTTTAGCCCTAGGGAGTTTGTGTTAGAGCCGCACTAGAAGGGATCTCAGTCCCTGGTCTTCTGCTGTACTGCCCTCTCTCAATTTGCTTCACTTCTCACATTTTAAGAAGAGATCAACTCCAAAGACTTCCAGGTTCTAAGCCAAAGACCATCATCTGCTGTTGATTTAATGCTGAAATTAGAATCCAGATAGGCTGATTAGCTAGCATGCAATATCTTTCTAGACCAGCTTGTGTTTGGATAATAACATCAAAACTATCCTGTTTGTCAATTTCAGTAATTTGAAGGATTTTTAATTCATGTTCCAAATGAGTTCACAGGGGATGTCTCACTAAGAAACTGAATTTATGATAGTTTATTACAAAATAGTTCATGTAATATGATTCCTCGAATCCATGAAAAAATTAAGATGTCATTCCCAATAAATATCCTGGGCTGTAAAATTTTGAACCTCCTGTTTGAAGTTAGGGATAATATTCCATTTATCGGGCATAGCACACATAATACTGCACTTTTGGTAGATGGTAAATGAAAAGAAGTGAAATAAATGAGATTGGATGAATGAATGTATGCGTTCACTTTTCCAAAATAAGCAGAAACATAGATTTACTTTTTTTTTTTTTGTCTAAATGCTGCCTGCTTTACTGATGAAGATATTTATTCTAACTGATTTCTTTTAAGCTATTGGCCCTAACTTTTTGGTACCAATGCTTAAATATTAGGAAGGGCTATTTAAACAAAAATCTAAACGACTTGGGCAGAATTTCTTAGAAAAGAGAGACACATCTAATTTTCCTATTTAGGGATTTGAGCCCTCTTTTTCCTGAAGACTCATCCCTGTCATCTGTTCCTAGCACTCATCTTAATTCAGTAGGTTAAGTAGGTTAATCATGTATCATTCTTTCAAAATGAAAACATAATTAAGATTGTTCTAGAAATAGAATGCAGTGTGTGAAGAAAGAGTTATTATATTAAGTATCAAATAGTATGTTGGATAATAAAATAATTACATGAGAAGATTTTTTATGTTTATTTACAACTTTTGACCCAAGGATCTCGCCATACTCACAAATGTTTGTGTTTTTATTATATCAATTTATGTGCAAAGAATTACTTTCTACTCAATATAGAGTCTCATATTAGAAATTCCATGGAATTCAAGCCAATACTTGTATCTCTTCATATGGAGCATACAAACTGAACAAATTTCCTTGCGGAGAAAATGTGATATCATATGTAGATAATGTCCTGGCTCTCTCACCATAATTCCTGGATGCTGTCCAAAGTCCTAATTTGCTTGGTTTGGCATTTTCATTATCTTCCTTTATCTTAGCTCTTTTTAAAAAATGTACTTATATTAGTTAATTTGCTGGTTGCTTTCATATTGCTTCATTCAAAATCCAAAATGGAGTTCAGAAAAAAGAACAAATAAAATTATAGCTTAAGTGCAAACTACGTTTCTGAGTATCTTCCAGGTAGACATACCCAATCCAGTGTTTCTTCCAGTTCAATGGATTTCGTCATTGGACCACCCCTAAAAGTTTCAGTAGTTTTCTTGAACCACAAAGAACTGTCTCTAGTTTCCCTTGTACTCTTAAGACTACCAACTGCCTACCAAGTACTGTCACTTTATGGAGAAGAAAATGTCGAAGAATGTAAAGTATGAGAGGAGGATATATTCAATAGTGTCAAACATGAAATCTTGATTTATTGTTTCATTTGATTAATGTCTTGGTTTCCTCTCCTAATTTTGAAGACTGTCTATTTAAAATAGTATCTATTTCACCACATTAAGTATCTCTTACTTAAATTCTGTCAAAAAGCTTTGATGTAAATATCCTTGCAGTTAGAACTTAAAGGCAAATATAGGAAAGAAACTAATATTAGGACCACGTCAAAGCAAAAACAAAATTAAAAGAATAGGCTTTAAAACATAATTACTGCTTCAAACTTTGATAGAGACTTAAAAACTGGTTGGCCATTCTTACTTCCTAAGATAGAGACTGTTGGCAAAAGAAATAGGATTCTCTATCTCGGTTACTAGTGTATGTTATATTAGAAAGGGCTATCCTTTTGATCTGATGGAAACTTTATTATGATTTCAGAGGTGTTGATTATGCATACATCAGTTCCTACAGATAGGAACAGATAGTACAGGTGTTTCAACCCTCTACATTAAAAGAAAGAAAAAAAGAGCTGAGAATTAGTTTGGCAGCAGGCAGTACTGCCTCACATGTTCGGGTCCTTTTCTAGCTGTTCCATTCTGCTACCAACCCATGCAGAGAAATGAAGAAACAGTGAAGTTCCACCTATCTTCCTCTTTCAGCCCTTCCTTCTAATGTTCACGTTACATAAGCGCATAACTATCATTGCATCTCTATGTCTTCCACGGGGAAGTGTCAGAACTACTGGCCTTAGGGATAGGAGGAAGGACACCAGAGCAAGAGAGGGGGTGTGGAAACTGGAGTGGGCTTGTCTCTCCACTTCAAAACTACACAGCTGAGCTTATACCACAGTATTCCGGTGTCTGTAGGGTGGAGGAGGCAGCACAGTGCCTGGCTTCAGTGAGAACTCAGAGAGGTATTCAGGATTCTCTGCCACAATGGGCCGGATCCGTCCATTCTGTTTATAAAAATATTTTGTGCTGTACTCCTGCAGGTAGTCTGGGTGCTGAAGGGTGCTCCGAGGCGGCAGGCTGTGGTTCCAGTAGTCAGGGTTGTCAAATGCTTTCTTGGCCTTCTCTGGCACAGACAGTACGTTGTTCTTCAGGTACTCCGCATTCCCCAAGGCATTGGCAAATGTGTTGAGGTACAATGGCTCATTCACGTACTCATCCTCTGCCTTGGGTGGACCACTAGAAGCCTTGTGATACTCAGGATTATCCAAAGCTTGAAGTTCTCCATTTTTTCTTCGAGAAACAAAAGGATTCTCTTCCACAGGATTCAGGTATTCTGAAGGGACACAAAAATAACAGTTAACATATATTCTCTGGAAAGCGTTTGTCAGATGAAGGTTATAAACAAAGGTCAACTTGTTTGTTGAGAACAGGAAAGTGGCACACTTGTTTCTCACAGCTATTTGTGGATTACTAAAAATGTTTACGTGGACCAGAAATAACAAAGTTAATAACAAAGCAAGGCAACAACAAGGTGAGGATCAGAATTCCTATCTCCCAGATTGTTTTTCTTTTCTTCTTAATTGTCTTTCCTACATATGGGACCAGTTGTTTTAATGCTTCTTTTTTCTAGAAGTCAGTAATTTATATTAGAAAATAAGATTACCTATCAGGCTAGAAAAATGTAGAGAAGTCAGAATTCTTATAAAGCATATGGTAAAACAAAGGATTAATAGCTTAACTCTACACCACACTGAAGAAATAAAGTAAAGAAATAGTTGTTTCAGATTATATGGTTTCCTGTGAATGTCTGTACAAGTAACAAGAATCCCACTGAACTTTTATATGTAGGAAGAAGAGTATCTAAAGAAAAAAATGAATGAAAACATCTAATATTTTCTAGTTGGCTCTCTGGATTTTATATATGAAACTGCTTAATAAGAAAGTATAATTACAAAAATAATTTTCAATATTTAATCATAATGGAAAAATAGCAAACTAAGTTTGAATCATATTAAATAGCTGTTTTGTATCTTGAACCAGTCATTTAGTGCCTATTTTTGTATGGCTCAGTCTACTAAATCCATCTGGTATAATAAGTATTAGCCTAAAATACAAAAATGATGATAATTAATGCTGCTCTCCTCAAGCTTAATTGCATCTCTATGTATATAATATAGATGACATATAAACATATACACACAGATGTAGCAGATCCTTTTTTGGTCCTTGCTTTTACTGCATACACAAAACACTAAGTTATTCCTATTTTTGAGTCAGAACATGGATATGGCACAAGTCTTTGTTCAGATGCCATCATTCTGAAATAAACTTTCTAAACCCTATACTTAGCCCAACAACATGTAGAAGACAAAAATTCAATCAAGCTCTGAATATAAGCATTTTGATAAAGTTAATCATTAAGCATCATTTGTGAAAGTCGAAAGGCAATAATGAATATCCTAGATTCATATAAATATATACAAATGAATTAAAGAAAGCTCAATAATTTCTAAAACACTATTGATCCCAAGTGACTATCTTGTGAAAAATGAGGTGCAACCTTTACTTTTATAGCTTTATAAATAGTAAACTTGTATTTTCTTTTGTGAATACAATCTACTCATCTATTGTCCTCATGTAAACTTATGTAACCATCTGGTTATATATGGAGAAAAAACATTATGGTTGAATGACAATCTTTCCAGAGAGGAGTCTGCTTTCAAGACAATCTGCCAAATCTTCAGAAAACCTACATATGTGTCACCAAGATACAGTTCATCATTAAATTAAAACTTTTCTATATCTTGACAGATTATTTGAATTTATAATATGTATTTAGGGAATCTCTAAATTATATTTGATAAGTGAACATAACCACATAGAAAAGGACCCATACTGAGCCATAAAATAGATGTTGAAGCTGCCACTGAAGACTCTGACAGACATGATCATTGCTTTCTTTTTTTAAAACATTTAGTTATTTTATTTTAAAGTCAGAGTTACACAGAGAGAGAAGGAGAGGAAGAGAGAAAGAGGTCTTCCATACACTGGTTCACTCCCCAGATGGCTGCAATAGCTGGAGCTGTGCCAACCCGAAGCCAGGAGCCGGGAGATTCTTCTGTATCTCCCATGCAGGTTCAGGAGCCCAAGGACTTGGACCATCTCTACTACTTTTCCAGGCTATGGCAAAAAGCTGAATAGAAAGTGAAGCAGCCAGGTCTTGAACCGGTGCCCATATGGGTTGCCGGCACTGCAGGTGACAGCTTTACCCATGATGCCACAGCGCCGGCCCCATGGTCATTGTTTTCTAATAACAATCATCTGTTCATCTGTCCTATCCATTTCATGATGCCATTAACATGGAAGAAAGCACCTTGTGGCACTCCAAAAATTTTTTGAATCATTTGATGTGGATGTTTAACAATTCTACTCTAACTTTACAAAGTCATTGTTGTGTCTTGAAAAACCACAACCTGTTATTTTCAAGACTTGGAGGTATACATATAGGTATATAAATGTCACATCTTTAATTTTTGAAATGTGTCTTACAAGAAATCATAATTTCCCATAATAAACTATATTATTCAAGTGGCACTATTTAAATGGATCAACCAAATCTTTTATTGGTGTTATCAAAAGCTTCAGACAAGGGCCAGTGCTGTGGCATAGTGGGTAAAGCCACAGCCTGCTGTGCCAGCAGCCCATATGGTTTCCAGTTGCACCACTTCAGATCCAGCTCCCTGCTAATGTGCCTGGGAAAGCAGTGGAAGATGGTCCAAGTGCTTGGGCCCCTGCATCCACATGGGAGACCCAGAAGAAAGTCCTGGCTCCTGGCTCCTGGGTTCGGATCAGTTCAGCTCTGGCTGTTGCAGCAATTTGGGGAGTGAACCAATGGATGGAAACTTGCTCTCTCTGTCTCTTCTTCCCCTCTTTCTCTCTGTAACTCTGCCTTTCAAATAAATAAATAAATCTTAAAAAACAAAAAAACAAAAAAACTGGGGCTGGCTCTGTGGCGCAGTAGGTTAATCCTCTGCCTGCGGTGCCAGCATCCCATATGGGCACCGGTTCTAGTCTCGGCTGCCCCTCTTCCGATCCAGCTCTCTGCTGTGGCCTGGGAAAACAGTAGAAGATAGCCCAAGTCCTTGGGCCTCTGCACCCACATAGGAGACAGGGAAGAAGCACCTGGCTCCTGGCTTCGGATTGGTGCAGCTCTGGCCGTTGCGGCCATCTGGGAAGTGAACCAACGGAAGGAAGACCTTTCTCTCTGTTTCTCTCTCTCACTGTCTGTAACTCTACCTCTCAAATAAATAAATAAAATATTTAAAAAAATCAGATACTTTTGTTCATCAATTCTAACCTTTACAATCTCCACAGTAATCTATTAAACCAGTGGTTCTAAAAATTTTGTGACATGCTACCTGGCTGAAAAACCCTAATACAGATATGTTTAGTTAGTTCTTCTCAAGCTTCATTATTTATCCACATCACACGAATATGTTGTTAAAAATCCAGAATTGCTAAGTGGGCCCTGAAATTCTGATTTCTTAAAATCACCCAAATAATGTGGAAGCTGCAGATTCAAGACCATATTGTAAGAAGCAGGAGCCTTGATCTTTTTTGGGTCACACATGTCACACAGTTGAACTACTTGCCAATTTCCGTTCCATTTTGATGGGAGGGGATATTGAATAACAATCATTTCTCAACATTCAGTTTGTACCTTGTTTGGGTTTGTCTCTCATAGGAGTCATGTAACCTTCTTCATCCAGTTCTCCTCGTGGGCTCCGTTCTGGGGCAAACACAGTGGGGTCAGCACTGTACCTCTGGGTGCTGCTGTCCTCTTGGATATGGGGTGCCACCGGCTTGCGTAGGGTGCCGTTACAACAGGAATCATCAAAAATTTCAGCTGTGGCACCCTGAGCAACTGGAGCTTCTGGGATTGTGCTGGTCGTGGCTCTATAGGGCACAGAAACTCCTTGTTCTGCAGTGAAACCCCCATCTCGGTACACAAACTGGTTCTGGTGATAGCAGAAAGAGATTTGGAGGGAAGTTGTTGTTAGGAAAATTAGTACAGAGTGAATGCTAAGAACAAAAAGGATATCACATCATGCCTTTCAGAGAAGTCATAGTGTGAATTGATGTGGTTTATTTACCTAGAGGCTAATGATTTGAATTACAGACTGAAAACATCTAGAATTTGATTTTTTTCTTAAAAGGTAAATCATAGAAAAATAATTTGGAAATAGATGTTTTAGTTTTACTAATATCTGATGCAATAAAAATATTTGAGGTCCTTCTCTCACAATTGCCTATTTTTGGTGTAGAATTCAGTGAATTTGCATGGCATACAGTGTGGTCATTAGTTGTATACAATTCCCGTTAAGAATAGAAGTAGACCAATAATATTTAGAATTTCCACATTTTCTTACTGCTTTTTGGTTACTATTACTCTGCAGAGACTTGTCACTGAGAATCTGGCTTTTTAGCACATGACCTATCCTCAAGGAAGTAAAGATAATCTCCTCACTTGGAAGCATAATTTATGAGCCAGGTAAATCCCTCAGATATCAATCAAAAGCTAGTGTTGATACATGATATCTCAATTTTGGATTATCTACAAAGATAAAACACACCTCAACTACTGAATCCGTAGCAAATTCTTAACTCACTGTTGGCAAAGGCAAGATGAAGAAATCATGGGGAGACAGGAGAGAGGAATCATGGTAAGCCAAGACCAAAAAATCCTAAAAGATGAAGGCTGATTGTGAAATACTTACTCCTGACATAGGGGTGTAGGCAGGAGGAGGGCTGTGTCCAATTTCACTCTAATAGGAAAGAAAAATGGAATGATGGATATAATAAGATGCAATATGAATGAAAAAATAAAAAAGACAAGACAAGAAAAATAAAAGGCACATGCATTGTATGAATCAAAGGGGAAAATGTGCACAACAGTGAATTTCCCTAAACAGTAAAAATGTATGCATTCTCACTGCAGGCAAGTTTATTCATATGTTTTGAGGAAATTAACATTTCAATTCAAGCCCTGAAAAGGAAAATTATATAGAAAAATGAAATTTTTTCAATGGATTAAAATTAAGTAGACAGAAATATTCTTATTAACCCTAGAATGAAGGAAAAATCAGTAAATACAGTTGTAAATGAGGGACAGTTTCCTTCTTTATGTGTTGAGTAACAATTTGCCACTTAACACCATATTCACTTTTATAAGAGATATGTCTAGGATATAGATGTAGAGTTCAATTTGTCTATAACAATTTTTGCTATGAAGTTACGGTGATTTTTCCACTGTTTCAGAAAAGGGTCAACTTCTCAGCTGTCCTTATAAAAAGGCATATTCTTTTGTCTTCGGTATGCACTATTTTATTTTCATTCTTCTTTTAAAGTTAAGAAATAGCAGAAAATTTGGAAAATCAATTCTTTTCCAAGAAACACACTCTACATTACAATCAGTCAAACATATGTTTCAGTGGTTGGAAAAAATACATCTATAATTTTATAGCCTAATACTCCATCTTATGGGCTAAATTAAAGAGGGGATAAAGTAAATATGGAGGACAATATTTCTTAGGGCAAGCAAAAGGTATTATATGAATCCCAACCTATTTCTTCAAAAAGTCGTATATATTTTATATATGTACATATGTATTTCACTCATTCATTAAACACATTTCTTGAGAACATACTATCTATGTGTCAGGAAATTTTCCACTTTGGTAGGCTCTGGGAACAATGAATAATATGTACCAAAATGGTTAATTGTATGAAGTTTGCATTCTCTACATTTCAACTTCAAGTGAAGAGATGACTAAAATAAACCTCCAAGGCACCTACATCTTTCACATAACACATAGCTTGATATTCCAGGTGAGCGTTGACATAGGTTAGTGATTCATAAAACAGTCTAAAGCCCATATGGCCCCATGGAGATCATTTAATGGCAATCAATACAATTAGATAATACAATTTCCTTAATTAACTTCGTCTATTGGACTAATCAAGGAACAAGTTCTGAATCTGTGTAATGAATTTACATTTTAATTCTCCCCACAACTAAGATGTCATAGTGAATATTGACCTAGTTCCTTCTCTAGTAACATACTATTACCAGCAACTATACTGAGGATTATGACATGGAAATCTATAAAAAACATTTAATAACTAGTATTGTACAATATGCAGATTATTTTATACATTGTTAGAAGCCTTGGGCTACAGTGCCAGTTGCGAATGGTATGAGAATTTGGTCAAACATGAAACATATCAGATCCTTCATTTCCATCTTTGGCTTCTCTATTTTTAGTGAAGATGAAGTAAGATGATGCATATAAATGAACTCTGTAAACTCTAAACTATTATATAAATGTAGAGGATATATAAAATTTAAATATTCACATCTACAAATTGAAAATTTAAAGTCAAGCAATCAAGATGCCAAAGCTACTCATCAAAGAGGTGTTTTTAAATGCTTACCTGTTCTCTGATTATCTTAAATATAGGCACAATTTGCTATCTTTTAGAAAGATAGGAAATCAAATACATTTGTTTATAAATCTGAAAAAATAAATTTTCTGTACAGGCAGTGACTTGTAAAATATAAGAAAGATATAGTTGCCTGGGAGGACTTTATCATATTATAAGCCCTGCTTTACCTTCACCATGAAACTCCAAGTATTTAGCAAGTACTTAACAAATACATATTAAATATTTACAATGAAAGCATAGGCACTGTGTTAGATGCTGGAGATACTATGACACAGTAGGAAAGACATAATTCCTGACATTTTGAAATTTGCCATGATATTACCAGAGATTTTTAAAAGACAATCTAACAGTAAAATTAGGCTAAATTATTTTCAGTTATGTGAATAGATAAGAGGGCTTCAAAAATTTCATAGAAATTTATATTATGAAAAAACTATGCATAGATCTCAAAAATTTCAATCTCCCCCCAAAATTCAAAACTCCATTTTCCAAGAACTTTTTGAAATGCCTAGATATATCAGAAAGCAAGATATTTTAAGATATTAGTCATTTTCAGAGTTCCTTTGACTTCTTATCTTGCAAGAGTTGCTGTACTGGGTAATGTTTGACTAGAATCATAGCTGAGGAACTAGCATTCATTGCACATTTTGCATCTCATAAAACTGAAGGGATAAGCATTCAAATGAATAACTCACACGTCATTCTTCATCAGGAAACAGTTTATTATCTATATTCATGATCTGGGCTAGAATGCCTGCAATTGTAAAGGCATTGTGATAAAAAAAAAAATATCTGGACCTCTTTCAGTTTGTCTGTTCCAAGACATGAAGCGAGACTATGCCCTATTAGGATGCATCCACTGTCCCTGCTTTCACAAGTCTTTCTGTCAGCAACCTGCCAACTCTGTATCTGGACATACTGCCAAATAGCATCACAGTAATTCGAGAGTCTTCATGCTTTGCTCCGTTTTCCACATTAAAATAGAAAAAAAAAAGTGCTATGCAAAACCCCGTTAGCATTCATTGTTTTAAGGGTTACTGGCTGCTTTTTATGCTTCTGTTTCCATTTTTTCCAGTTTGCATTTTTTAAAATCTGTTTTCCATGATAAAAAGCACCTCATTCATTCCCCCTGGAAGGGCAAAGCAGTTCCAAGGGAACATCTGTGAGGCCAATTAGCTGGGCTGGAAATGTGATATAATTGTTGTTTAAATATATTTAAATTACATGTTAATCGCTATGTCATAATTTATAGGCTTTGAAAATAACTTTTTGTACTTCAGAGCCAAGCCAGATTTCACTGGTTTCTGCTGTTTTTAGTTTGCAACAAGCTCTTCTCTTCCTCTCTCCCTCAATTCCCCACACTTTAGAGCTGAACTTTTAATATTGGAAAGAATGACAGCTGCAAGTAAATTGGTTGAGTAAAAATTAAGATCTTCACAGCAGTTAGAATGAGCTGGAGTGACCTTAAAGTTCTGAGCAGAACAAAGCAGTACTCTCAGTTAAAAAGCTTTTGTTTTCTCATTGTGCCATTTTCTGCTGTCCATCAAAGCCCAGCTTTGCAGATCTTTAGGAAGCAACACTGGAGGCATCTGTTCAATTAGCTGGTGAGGGGATTTACTGTCAGCAGGACAGGGATAGAAAGAGGTGGGTTATGAACTGGAAGGTAACATGGAGTTTGCTCCTGGTGGGAGATCTCTAAGGGTGATGGATACAGTTGAGTTTAATTTTGTGACCACATCAACAGGACACTGAATGATTAACTTGTACTTAAATGCCAGAGGTTATGAAGAAAGCAAGAATCTACAAATACATCAAAGCTAGTGATCAATGCACTTTTAAATACAACATCTTCTAAAATGTACTTTTTAGTTGAGTGATAAATATTTGAACCTTTGTCTCATTACATGCATGGTACTTCTTGTATTGTTTACTATTTCTCTTAAGAAATTTTAAATTGTTAGCCAGATGGAATATGTCTTATGATATTATTCAAAATTACCATACAAATTTAACTTCTTAGCAAACAAAAATACATGGCTAATGCTCAACTTCAACTACATTAAATGTGTGCTTAATGAGATATAATATTTTATCTTTAAATATTATTCTCAATAGTAACCGTAGGATTATAGTTTTTAGGGTCAAGAAATACTGCAAATTTTAATTAAAATGGAACATATATCTGTAAAATATTGCCAATATATCATCACTAATTTATTATCCAGATACTTCAAAACAGTAACTATTAGGGATTCTCTACTTTGTATCTTTGGCATAAATGGTTACACTCTGATGGGCATTTTCACAGGTCAGATAGCAGCATAGCAAAAGTGCTTTTAGTGTTATTTACAATTCCTGATGCATGGTGGTAACTCTCTGTCTCAAACTGAGAACAAAATACCAGTGCTCTGAGACATCTAGTTTTAGAATATTCATTTGCCATAGAACAGCCAGAAGACAACAAAGTAAGGTATCAAAAACTAATAAAGACTGAGAGAAGCTTCCTAAGGTTTCAGAAGCTGACTTAAATATAATGAGATGTATTATACATAATGTCTATTATCTATTCCTGTATTATTTATTTCTTTGCTATTTATCTATTTGGTTCGATTAGGTGGACTCTGTTTTTTGAAGACACTTTTTACTCTGAACACACAATGAATATACACACAAAGACAAAACAATCATGACCCTATGATCCACTTGAAGAAATATTGACATGGGCTTTCATTCTTTATCCACTTTTTTGGAAACCTCCCTTTTCCTCCTGGCCCTCATCTACTTTCTTATCTTCCTTTTTCCTTCCCCACACTGTGCCTCAACTGTTTTCTCAAATAAATTCTCATGGTTTCTCTTTCTAGTTTTAGTAAAACCTAATGTCAAGGAGGCATCTAAAACTCATTATTCAGTATAAGACGCTAACAATTTTACAGTAGTATCCCACTCAGTTTATTTATATTTAAGTTAGTTACAAGGACTTAAAGTAGAGAGAAGTCATAAATACAATGTTGAGAATTAATAGTGTTCACATGTGCACACACAAAGTTTTCAAATAGAAGGAAAATATGTATTATGATAAAATTATGCCTGGGTTTTAAAATTATTTTGCACCAAAATACATATCTTTCAATTCCATTTTCCATGAACTTTTTATGTTTTTGATTTGTTTTGTTTAGGATTTATTTATTTATTTGAAAGGCAGAGTTACAGAGAGGCAGAGGCAGAGAGAGAGGTCTTCCATCTGCTGATTCACTCCCCAGGTTGCCCCAATGACCATGCAGGGGCCCAATCACTTGGGCTATCTTTCACTGCCTTTCCA